TCCGGACCACTAGGTGGAGCTGTTGCGAAACTGTGCAAGTAACCCCAGATCATGGTTATCATAACACACACCAAGTTTGGTCTGAATACGGCAAAGCGTTGGAGAGATATAGCCTCATGTCTGATTTGGCGAGCTTTTCGTCCAATTCGTTTGCATGGTTTTCGAGAATGAATGGGTGTATCAAAAAGCTTTTAATAACTTTTTGCTAGCATGGTCTGAACATATTTGTGTAAATTTGAGTGAAAATCGAATTAACCATCTAGGACGAGTTCGAAAAAGTATGTTTTTCTAAAAATTCAAAATGGCGAAAAATCTTGAATTGTAGAAATGTAAAATTTGGTGGCCATTTGAGTCTGCATGAGCCAAGGAATCAGAGGGGGGAAAATCCTTCTAGACTTTACTTTTCAAAGGTTATTAGCATAAACATGAGTGAAACTTAGGACAAGTGGTGGCGCTAGATAGTCAGACACACCAAATTTTCTGTGGTTAATATTGAGAATGTCTTCTATCAGTGTGCCAAATTTTATAACTTTCCCGCAAGCGCTTGTATGGGCTGTCATAGACTCAATAGCAGAAGCAGAAGCAGAAGCAGAAGAAGAAATCCAATGTATACAATACATGCCATCACACCTTCATTGCTTGGGCACTAATTCACTCACTTTAATGGCCTTTGAACGGAACATACATGCTCCCCTCGAACTGGAATCATGGCACAATATCCTGTGATGTCCACTTCACAGGGTACTTACGGTCGAATAGAACAAGCATCTGAAGTGCTAAGAGACGCATACAAAATGTGCAGAGCGGTGGTATGCGAGGACTGGAATTGAGAACCACTGGTCTATAGTTATGCGTGCAGATGCATAGTGTTTCTTTACAAAGGTGACATCTCCAACTACTGGCCTGGCATGCGTAATACAGTGATTTTAGTCGTTTTCACAGATCCACGTGAATAACATTTGATAACATTGTCATCTGCATGCAAAACATTAAAAAAAAAAAAAAATTCCCTCCATTTTTAGTACATTGTTGTCATTTAAATGTATCCTGAGTCACCTACTGTTGTTCTAAATATCAGCTCAGTTGCTTTATGGCCATGGGTTGCAGACCTTTTTTAATGACATCAGCAACTAATGGGTCTGACTGAAGCCTGTAGCAACTAACAGCACCATATGGAAGTGGAATAAGGTTTGCACAAGAACTCCATGGGAGAGTTTTACATCTCCATGATGACCAAATCAACTATAGAGATGCATCTGCGAAGAAGAAAGAGGAACGGGGAACAAAAGAGGCGACCCAAAAACAAGACAGATATTAACTAGTCAGTCACTATGAGAGACAGACATTCATTCACATGGAGACATGTGTCTTTAAAGAAAAGAACCAACTAATGAAATCTCTAGACAGGCAAGGACAAAGCAAAGGAAATGAGATGGAGAGAGAGATATATTAAAAACGAATGTATCTGACCTGAGATATGTGGTTAATGGAGGACTCCATCCTGCGCAGCTGCGAGGCCTGGATATCCAACAACTGCAGGACATTGTTGGCTAAGGTATTGATCTGATAGGCCACACTTGCCAGGGACTGGGTGGTGTAGGCTTTAGTCTCCTCCAAGGCTTTCCTCTTATCCTGTGCCTGCAGGTCAAGGTCAGAAAAACACCTTAATTCGCATTTTCAAAAATAACAGCATTTGCTTTAAACGTACACACAGTCTCAGACAGCACTTCTACGGACCTCCTACAAACTGCCCACGTACCGTCTTATGTAAACAAAAATAACTGGCGAAAATCATTCCAATCTGCCTGGTTTCAATGTAACTTTCAAGAGACAGATTATGCCAGTTTTAATTCAGACAGGATGAAGGCAAAGTCATGTTTACAGGGTACCAGGTTGCTACAGTAAGCAGAGCAATGGTCAAGACATTCATGGATTTGACAAAATTTGCAACTTAGGTAGATAGTGAGCAAACAAAATATTCAATCAAAACTGTAATATATGCACTATTTTCAGGGCTATGTTGGTACATATTTGAATTAGTTTCACACATTTGGAATCATCGGAAGTGTACACATTTCCTCTCACATGCTACAGCATTGTTTGATAAACTGCTTTGCTGTGAAGCAGTCTGCTGCTGTGGTATCGTCAATTTCCTGGCAAGGTACGTGGACATAGTAATGTGGAATGTTTACAGATATATTTTACAACCAGGGGGTCGGGGTTCACCGGGGCCTTCAGCAAACGTCCAAGGGGGCCTCAAGATAACTTAAAATGATTTAAAATAAGACAAAACCACTTTAATACATTTGATATTGTTGTTTTATATTTTTTTTCTAGTTTTACAAAGTTCTAAAATATTTTATTGGGTAGAAATGGATTAAAAATTATTTTTATTTATTTATTTATTTATAGGGATGTAATGATTCACTCAACTCACGATTCGATTCACAATTTTGATTTCACGATTTGATTCACGGTTTCACTTTTTTTTACAAAATTAGATTTAAGACAAATTATAAATTAAATGTGTCCTTTTATTATTGCTTGGACAAAATGCTGCTAATTTTTTTGTGAAATTGAAATATAACTAGTAGGGATGCACGATATATCGGCCACCATATCGGTATCGGCCGATAAATGCTAATTTTTTCTGTTATCGGTATCGGCCCAATAAGAAAATTTGGCCGATATCTTAAAGCCGATAAATAATGTATTATTTCCTTCAGAGACACTTCAGATGCGCGCTGTTCGTTTGCAGCCTTTTGTGCAATTGTACGTTGTAATATTGTGTTTATTTGATGTATATCTGATTTATCTCATATAGAATGCGTTTGGTTAAGTTAAAAGAGCGCTTCAGTTTACCAGTGATAAACTCAAACAGCAGTGCACAACATTAATAACTATGATTGGGAATGTCGTGTATATAACATTCTAATGAGAACATTATTATAATAAAACGTTGTGAATTCTATGGGTTTAGTTGCCGTGTTTCAGCGCGTTGATATGGGAAGAGCGCATCCACAACAGGATCACACATTCTGACTATAGCACGCAATAACTGCATAATTTTTGTTGAAGTGTTCGGGATGTGGTTTTTAATGATGAGACCTTTTTTGTAATCAGGCTCTCAAAAAGTATATACAAATTTGGATATAGATTTATCGGCCAACATATCGGTTATCGGCTTTCAAAAATAAAGGATTATCGGTATCGGCCAAAATGTTCATATCGGTCCATCCCTAATAACTAGCCTATAATAATATACTAACATAGCACTTGCATATTATTGCTCTTTTGTTGGTTTTGATTGCTTCCATTGTCCTCATTTGTAAGTCGCTTTGGATAAAAGCGTCTGCTAAATGACAAAATTTAAATATAATGTAAATGTAATTAACAAAACTAAATTGAAATTTTAAAACAGCCCCAAATCAAATACATAAGTAACACACATAAAAGAAATCTCTTCATATAAACAAAATAAGGCTTTGTCTGTGCTCTTTCCTTTTAAAATGAGAGTTTTTAATCTAAATTAGATTGTATAATTTCGACTTTGACTACATTAAAATATCTGCATGAAACAGCGGAGCTGAATGAGATGCAGATTCACTCTCTGCCAGCAGGTGGCGCTTAAAGCGTTTCCTTGGTTTCCGCTAGGGCTGCACTTATGAACTTTAATATGCATTATACAGAGGCAAGATGAAAAGAAAAAATACCATCTAAACTTTTCTAAAGACAGTAAGTGACTACATTAAAATATCTGCATGAAACAGCGGAGCTGAATGAGATGCAGATTCACTCTCTGCCAGCAGGTGGCGCTTAAAGCGTTTCCTTGGTTTCCGCTAGGGCTGCACGATAAATCGCATGCGATATTTAACGTGCATCTTGTCAGAAAGACGGTTCTGTAATCAGCATTAACTATACAGAGCCGTTGTTCACTGACGAGCAGCACAAAAAATCGCGCGAATATGAACATGGTTTTGCGCAGCTCGTCAGTGAACAATGGCTCTGTGTAGTTAATGCTGCTCAATGTGAAAGCCCGCAGGTGATGGAGATTTACTGCTGATTACAGAACCGGCTTTACTGATAAGATGCGCATTAAATATTGCATGTGATTTATCGTGCAGCCCTAGTTTCCGCCATAAACAAAGCAGCGCTGCACTTATGAACTTTAATATGCATTATACAGAGGCCAGATGAAAAGAAAAAATACCCTCTAGAAGTTCCCCTCAGACATACATTCATATAAACTCCTACCCCTAATTGAATCGCGATTTGTTTAGCATCTCAACCGATTTGAATAGTCACATATTTGAATCGATTTTCAACCGGCTCACGGTTAATCGTTACATCCCTATTTATTTATTTATTTAAATCCTTAATCCTTGTCCAGTAAAATCACAAACAACTGAAAAAATCATGGACATTTAAATATCGTTGTTGACTGGGGGCCTTGGAGTCAAATAGGTTGAGAACCATTGACTTAATCTTAAAAACAAACAGCATGACATCACACATATCAAAACAAAGTAAATAAATGAAATATAACAATATAAAACTATTTGTTATAATAATAATAATTGGTAAAAATAAAAATGATTTGTAATAATAATAAATATTTTATGTTTTTATATAGTATAATTATACGTATTTAGTATTGCATTTGTCAAAAGCTGGAAAAAAACTATTGTATTTTAGTTCTTTATACGGGTTATATGATAATTCAACAAAAAATAAACTACAGGAAAAAATTGGTCTTAGCTTTCACCTACATTGTGGACACTAGCTTAAAAGAATTACGAACGGCAAAACTGTTCTGAAACAAACAGAATGAAGGGGGAAAAGAAATCTGCATTAACCGCAACCGCACAGAAACGAAACTCTTGTTTTTTTTAATTGTGGTATTTTCTCAGGTCTCCATTTGGCCTACCTCTGTGGTTCACCAAGATATCACCGAGGCAAACTATCTGTCATGCAAGACCTTCTTCGAAAAACATCAAAACCTGAAGCACCTGCAGTGAGGAGGAAACCATGGTCTGCATTTTGAGAATGCAATTCTGTTTGAACGTTTTATGATGGAATTAATCATATATTTAATAAACTATCTGATTAACAGAGAATAAATATTTAGTTTTATAACATATAAAATATTAAATAGTCTAGACTGTTTTGGATGGATATGGGCCGGATGTGTTGTAGAGTTTCTGCCTGAAAGAACGAAGAAGTGCTTCCTCCAGAGAGTGATAAAACAGCAGCATCAGTTTGTCTATTAAAAACTGTATTAAATACTGTCTATATTGAATACATGAACATGCACAAGAAGACATTTGCACATGGGGACCACAGCTCTACAGCTCTCATTCCCCATTGCAAATTATGTGGTGAGGGTATGCAATAATATTGTTTTACAGATGGCGCAGAGCTGTTCTTCGGTCAAAAGTCAGGCTATTTTTAGCAAGTGTCTGGCAAGAGAAATGGACAGTGTTACACTAGAGATATGCATCCCAGAGTTTGCTTTAAAAAGAGTGGAATTCACACATAAAGGTTGAAAATAACTGCATGTCCATCGTGTCCATACAGTAGTTCAGGGTGCTCAGCTGAAACCCAATGAAAAGCAGAACATTTAAAATCCTGTCCAAATGTCAGAAGATACAGACTTCATTTCAATGGTGCCGAACAGGATCCAACATTCTCCAAAGACAACTTAAAAAAGGACTGAAAGTGCCATAAAGGCAGGTTGTAATTTTAAACAAAACATTTGGTCCATGTCCAGTCTTGACGTATGGTCGGAATCTGTTGTAATTCTGCTTTATGGCTGTTCTGATGATTGAATTTTCCCTATGAGGCATCTGTAAATCTTATAGTCCACATCTGGCTAACAGAAATGTATATGTGTAAGGCGGATAAAATGATTTTTTTTTTTTATGTTTTCAAGAAAATGTCAAGAGGTGCTTGCCCATGCAAAAGTCAGAAACATAACTGTGATTGTGCAATTTTGATGTATTCAAAAATACATTAAACATGCAATTCAGACATACAAACAGAGACCCCTGCAGAACCTCATGACTGTGAGTCAAGGTCAACAAGTCTCTAAGAAAATCAGATCATTTAACCTTCATATGGCAAGATTGTGGCCAGTAAAAAAATTTGGAGTCAGTAAGATTGAATGTTTTTGAAAGAAGTCTCCTATGCTGCATTTATCTGATTAAAAAGAGTAAAAACAGTAATATAGTAAAATACTGTACTATTTCAATATTAATTTCTTCAATATCTTACTCACCCCAAACTTTTGAGCGATAATGTACTGTATATGATGGTTACATAACACCATTTTAGAGATATTCAATTGAAACCATATGAAATCGTTTGAAACCAACATAAACAATATATATTTTTGAGAACTTTAAACTAGATTTTTACAGGAATGTATCTTTTCTTTATCATGGACAAATCTTATTTGTCATTGACCTGTGGACCCGATTCTTCAAGAAACCAGACTGTGAGAGCTATTAAGGCAAATGTGTGTTGGCATAACAGAAATGGCCTTGTCAGTAACAGGAATCATTAGTTCTGGTCCAGCTGTTAAATTTCTTTCCATATTTGCTCTTACAAAAATATAAATAACCTTCTGCCCTTTTAGT